TTTTATTGATAGACGGATATCTCGCCTCCGCCAAAGGTGACGTAAGTTGGCAAAAGCCAAACGAGCTTTACGAATCCGTGCTGAGATTTCGTCAGACACCAACCCATTAGGGCTGATCAGACTTCCAAGATAAGTGAAGTTGTCAACACGTTCGACTACTTCACTCCCTATCCTTAGTTCAGGTGTTGACGCAGACCAGTCCTGAAGCAACAACTTGCATTCATTGTTTTATACAGAGAAACAACATATTTATAACTACGTTAATAAGCAAATTAAACGTATAAATGAATTGGTTTTGCTGATGACATCTTAAAACATGGATTATTATCATTATTTATTTATTTACTTAATATGCTTGGCGTTCGCTTAATAAGATTTTTTTCTACGGGATGTGGTTGCCAACCTCATGCCCAACTCTCCTCATTTACCCGGGATTAAGACCAGTAGCAACTTCAGAAGAACTACAGGCTCAGCAAATGTGAACCAAAATCATAGTCAGAATCTTCAATACGAACGTCAGGACAGTTTTACTGTACGGAGCTGAAACTTGGAGAACTACTACAACCATCATCAAGATGATACAAATATTTATAAATAATTGTCTACTTAAGATACTCAACATTCATTGGCCGGATACAGTCGGCAACAATCTACTGTGAGAGAGAACAAACCAGCTTCCAGTTGAAGAGGAAATTAGAAAAAGATGTTGGAAATGGATAGGATATACATTACGAAAATCACCAAACTGCATTGCGAGATAAGGCCTGACATGGAATCCTGAAGGGAATGCGGAAAAGAGGAAGTCCAAAGAACACATTACGTTAGGAAATAGAAATCAAATCTGAAAAGAATGAATAACAATTGGAAAGAGCTGGAAAGTTTTACCCAAGACAGAGTTGGATGGAGAATGCTGGTAGGTGGCCTGTGCTCCTCCACGAGAAGTAACAAGAGTAAGTAAGTATTATTATTACTATTACAGCTATATTTCGACGAGAATAGTGGATGGTAACTGTTAGGATCTATGTACGGTCGAGTACTATACATATAATATTATTCTATAGCATTTCTGTAAGTTGTACAGAGAAAGGTCGTAGACTCTTTTCATATACGCTCCTGAATAGATTGGTTGAATTTAGACATTAACACCGTTGGATGCCGACCATCTCAGTGTGCTAGAGTTTAAGAGTTCGCGCGCGAGACTGAAAGTCCTGAGTTCGAATCCCGTGTGGGCGGAGTCGTGGATGCGCACTACTGAAGAGTCACATACTAGGACGAAACGGCCATCCACTGCTTCCAGTTTTTCTATGATAATCTAGCCTCAGTTGACACATGAATTCAACTAGAAATCTAAGTGTTTATATTTGTGAGTAGTTTTCAATTAAGCTGTCATTTTATGTTATTGTAGTGATAGAGAACAATCGAGGACAACCGATTGTATATGGCACAGAATTACAGAGTTAATTGATTAAAAAACTTTAATACTTCACTCGTAAAATGTTCATTAATTGTTTCAAACTTCATTGTTCCTGCATTTTCATACCCATTGCTTTCTGTTTCCCGTTCTTCTCTTTTCGATCTTCGCAATCTTTTGCTACCAGATATTCTATTCCTGACTTCCCTGATGATGAAACCGATGTTTTACGAAACTAACAACTCATTCTGTTGACATGCTTCACTAATTTGATGTATGCTGCGTAAATTTAAGTCGTTTTGATTTACTTATCCTTCATTCGATACTAACATATTTTTTCTTGATACGTTTAAGATACCAAACAAAATTAACTGTCATTTGTAATTCATATCGTCTGAAGGCTATCATATATAATACAATTCCACATGTTTGTCAATGAATTGGTTGCGCTGTCGTGCAAACCAAACACATTTGCTCAGAGCATTGTTTTGATTACTTTCAAGTGCTCGAGAAATATGTGTTGCACTAGAGCAAATCAACAGGGAAAGCCCCTCAATTTAGCTGCTCTCACTTTGGCTGCCCAGTCTGTTGCCGCCAAGAAGAGAGCTGGAGCTAGAGCACAAGCCGCTAATACGAGACCAGAGCGTACTTTATTCTGTCTGACGCTTAGAAATTCTTTGAGAAAAGTATGCATAAAAATTGGAGAATGGAAGTATCCTTTATATAAACGTTTCAATTAAAATAATTAAAAAAAAACAGATTTGCACTCCATAAACGTTAGCACTTACATTTTTACAGGTCAGACTGGTATACTTTTACTATCGTTGTAATGCTTAGTTTGAACCTGTGGCAGCATCAGGCGAGATCTTTACAGTTTCCTTCTTCATTCTGATGATGAAACCGATTTTTCACAGAAACTAACAACTCATTCTGTTGACATGCGTCACTGATTTGATGTATGCTGCGTAAATTTAAGTCGTTTTGATTTACTTATCCTTCATTCGATACTAACATATTTTTTCTTGATACGTTTAAGATACCAAACAAAATTAACTGTCATTTGTAATTCATATCGTCTGAAGGCTATCATATATAATTGATTTTTCAATATATAATCATGATTTCAATCTGTGAAAATTTCTACAAATCTCCACAAAGCCCTTCTGATAATTGTAAAATAGTTGAGATCATGGTTCAATTGAAGCTAAACCACTATGGAAAACTTGGAAGCACTGGACGGCCGTTTTGTCCTATTGTGGGACTCCTCAGCAGTGCGCACCCACTATACTAATCAACATATGCTCACTAGTGACTGGCTTTAAGATGTACATCCTGGAGTTCTAGTATGAAGTTATGACCAGTGGAGTTCAACCGAGTCAGTTGTGAGATAGTAACTCACTGAAGACGACGGTGGATGTCGGTCTGTTTCGTGGATTAGTTGAAGTTAGACATCAACACCGTTGAATGTCGGCCAACTGTGGTATAGTGGTTAAATGCTCGCGCGGGAGACCAGTAGGTCCTAAGTTCGAATCCCGCGAGGCGGGGTCGTGGATGAGCACTGCCGAGGAGTCCTACACTAGGACGAAACGGTCGTCCAGTGCTTGCAAGTTCTCCATGGTGGTCTAGCTTCAATCGACTCATGATCTCAACTATTGAAATTACTAAAATCTCCACAAAACCCCTTCTGATATTAGTACGTACGTTATTATGCAACAAACATGAAAGTAGTTTATCTGATGGAATATCTTTAGGTAAATTATTCTGAAATAGGTTCAAACAAATTCTTGGTCCAAGTTGGACAGTAGAGCCTTTATCTAATCCCAGTTATAATATGACACAGATTACCTGTCTATTTCGATCCATCACTACAAACGTCAAACAGCTTATCAAGTGAAATTCTCAGGAAAATAGGCAATTTTGACATCACCATATAGTTAGGTTTTGGAATCACGCTACTATTCCTACCATAACTTTGTCATAGTTTTTTCATAGCGCTCGCTTAACTGCATTTGGCTTACAGTCAATTCAACACGAAACAAAACATTCAATAAAGATTTCCGCTGTTTCAATAATGAACTCCTGAAAAACATACAAAACTACATACACTGCTGCGTCCGACTCATAAGGTAAAAATGGTGATAGTACCAGAGGAAACCCAGTCACATTATTATACCCTTTGTCCATTATATTTTGAAATTTCTTACTGTGTAAATTATGAAAACGTACGAGAAGAAAATTAGCTAAGATAAACGATAAAGATGGACCGATCGCTATTCCATCATTTTGTTAAAATGAACCTTCATTGTACATCTTGGAAAGTGATTTTTTGGAACTAACCTCGGAGATTCGAAAATCTATTTGCTGTTAACGTATAGTTGATTGCCACGACTAATCCTACATTGATGAAAAAGGAATCCACATATACAGAATACACTGAAAATGAATACAAAGACATTTACGTTTCTTTTAACGATCTATTTGTGTAGGGGTATCAGAACTCAAACAAGTTTTATAGCCTGTAGAATTAAACATATTCAAAACTGGGGAAAGAGTAAGTCTTGCATGTGTATGTATAAATGAACTAACGCATAAAGGCACCAAATGTACAACAATAGTGGAGAGTTTGTAGGTAGAAAAATACTACCATGAAATAATTATGTACACAAAGGGAAAAACAAGCTTCTCCGATAAAACACAGCATGCAACAATCGAAACACACTTGACGGAGAAGAATTGGGAGATGTAAAAACCTTTAAACATCTGGGTAGCATCACTGATGAGCATGGTCGATCTGATGAACATATAAACACGTGGATCGGCAAAAAAACAGCATATTTACAATTGAAGAATTGCAGAGCAATTCATAACAACACTCAACCAATACCAACGTCAGAATTTTCAACACAAATCTCAATACACATCTACTGTATGGGGAGGAATCTCGGAGAACCACTAAACCCATCATACAGAACAATATACAAGTGTTTATTAACAGTCGCCTATGCAAAATACTTCACATCCATTCACAAGAAACTATCAGCAACAATCTACTCTGGGAGAGAACGAACCACATTCCAAGGGAGGAAGAAATCAGGAAGAAGTGATGGAAGTGGATAGGATACACATTGACGAAAGCATCCAACTGTGTCACAAGGCAACACCTAACATGGAATCCTCAAGGCCAAAGGAGGACGGTAGGAAGACTAAAGAATACATTACTCCGAGAAATGGAGACAGACATGAGAATAATGAACAACAATTGGATGGAACTAGAAAGGAATGCCCAGGACAAATTGTGTTAGAGAATGCTGATCGACGGTCTATGCTCCAATGGGTGTAATAGGCGTAAGTAAGTAAGTAAGCAATGCATGATTAGTAATATGTATTGTAATATATGATAAAAATACATAATTTAAGGTGTATATATATATATATGAAAATATTACAGTGTAAATAATCGAACGAATATGAGACAAATATACATACATAGATATAAGAACAATGAGTTATTCTTGGAAGAAAGAAAAAAAAAGAAGAAGAAGAATAAATAAGTAATAATAGAAATATAAAAAATTTTTTCTTCTAATGGTTAACCAGAAAACTTCCAAATACACACTAAATTATTATCAGTTACAGCAACTAAATATTGTCCATCATGACTAATATCAGTTGTATTCACTACAGGATTTTTAAAACCGGAAGTAATACTTTCTTTAATTTGATTATCTTCATCTTTTGCTCCACCAATACTACATTCAGGCCATTCAAGGATCTATAAATTAAGGAAAAAATAATATAAAATATTGTAGATAGGATAGGCCAATATATATTACATCAATCAGTCAGTGGCCATGAGTGCTGTTAGATGTATGAGGGCGGCTATCAATTCCCGGTTGCCCATATCGTGGAAGAGTTCTTCTGGAGGTAACTGGGGAGAAAACTGGCTTAAGGGTAGTCTTAATGATCTGAGAGTACGACCGCAGTGCCTAAGAGACAAGTGCTTGAGGTCAGCCACACACGACCTTTTTGTGAGTAGTTTTCGTGTTAGCTCCGTAATTGTTGAGATCGTACCGCCGAAGACGGATATCCGTGGGATAAGGCGATGTGTGAATTTTTAGGGTCGGCTTTTTCTAACCCCACCCCTTCTAGTGGGAAATCAGCATTGTCGTTATGCTAGTTGTCTGAAGGAAACACCTTACTGCCGTCACACCTCTGTAAAGTCAGTAGTACGACTTCGCTTTCGGACCTTGAGGAACGATTGTTCCAGCCAGTATAGCTCGACTGGTTCATCACGATGGGCAAGGACGACCACCACGCCAAGGTAGCAACAACGGTCGGGAAATATATCAAATAATTATCAGATATTGAAAAACGTAACAATCTAATTGGTCTGATGGAAATCATAACTTAAACGGACTACATCAATAACAGTTAATGTAGGATCCATGGATTTCTTATCTATTTATTTTGTCAAATGGCGCCAAATAGTTTTTGCATCAGTTATTCAACAGTGCACGAATAAATGAACTATTGTAGTATGATATTAATGTCGACAGATATAAGTAGTATGTATCACAAATCGTAAGTGGAATATCTAGTAGCAGAAGGTTGAGAAAATCGAACAGAAAGTAACTGGTATGAAGACGAAGTAAGAACAAAGTTTGAGACAAATGATGGATATTTTGCAAATAATGTATTTACTGTATGGTTTTCAGATTATATCAAGAGATGATGTAATTTTGGGTTCAAGTACACTTCGTTGTCCCCTACTAGTGTTCTCGTTCACCACACTATGAATAAAGATATGATGGAATGCATGATATGCACTAGTATGTGAAGAATGATGAAAACTAAATTCAAAACAACTCTCAAGAAGAACTAAATCTAATTAGAAAACATCGATGGTTTTACTTGAACAAATGAAGCCATAGGTCAACTTGATATGATAATACAATGAGAAAAAAAGTGTCAAGGGATATGAATATATAAACAATTAAATGATTAGAATTCAATTACTGATGGATATTCTTGAACAAAAAATGGCAATAACTATTAAAAGATAGCTAGTTAAAAGGAGAATACTAATCAGAAATCTAAGAAGTGAATGAAAGAAAACAAGTAAAACTATTTGTTGAGGTGATCCAGAAAATTGCTTGCAAAAGTCAGTCAGTCAGTCAGCTACAACGTAGGACCAGGCATATATATGCATCGGTCCAGGTTGCCATACCGCATTAGCACAACAAGATGAACACCGGATTCATAGGAGTGGTTAGGTCAAAGGTGGTAATATATAAAAGAAAGATTGTGTATAAGGATACAGGAAGAAAGAATTAGTTAGTAGAAAGATATGAAGTGATTTTAATCTCTTAGTTTAAGGGAAGACAGGGAGTGTATGCACCGACGCCATTGTGATCGATTCTGAGCCATGTCACCAAGAGTCTCCAACCACTGGTTACGATAGTCACCCGGACCCCAACCAACTAGTCTGCATCTATTAACATGGATCAGACTAGAAGTTAGTGACTTCAAGCACTGATGCCATGTTTTGGTTTGGCCGCCCCTAACTTTCTTCCAACCATCCCCTACACCGGTTAGCATTGCACGTCGTGGTAATCGGTATTCAGGCATATGTAACACGTGGCCCAACCATCTCAGTCGATGAAGATTAACAACCTCATCAACTGACTTACCATCATTACGTAATACCCTGCGTCTAACCTCACTATTACTTATCCGGTGATCCCAGCAGACGCCAGCAATATTTCTGAGGCAAACAAGCATCAGGAAACACTAAGAAGAGTTTCATGCAGTCGGCGTTCACTTGAAGTTTTAGCTAGAAATATCAAGGAAGTGAAACGTCACATGCAGAGGTTCTGATTGACTGATTGCTACACTGCTATTATGTTTAATAGCATTCCAGAATCTACGAGTAACCCAAGGACATTTAAAAATATTATAAAAACCCTATATTTTCTGTATTAGAATGAACCTTTGGAATAAATTACTTCGTGCATACTTTTCACCTTCTCTCTTGTGTTCAGGTCGCTGTATAGTTCTAGCTTGGAAGGGGGGTTACGTGAATAGCTTAGGAAACGAATATAGCGTTCAATTTGCAAGATTATCACTATTCAAGATGTTTAAGATCTTAAACACATACAACGAAGCAAAAGAGAAATAAGAAAAGGATTCAGTTAGCTACAACATACGATCAAGGTACACATATATGTGCATCAGTCCAAGTTGCCATATCTCCATTAACATACAAAGTAGTGTCTTATATTATTATTATTAAAAATAACAAGGAGGAATTGATATGTAAATTTTCTTTTAAAATTGTGATTTACCTTTACAGGTTTTGATTTAAATTTACGATTTTCTGATTCATCAATAACTTGTTTTTGAAGATCATATAACCATATAGTACCTTCATTATCTCCACATATTACAGCATGTAAACCAGGTCTAGCAGTAACATTAATATAAATTTCTTCTGTAGTATGCCAACGTAATTGACCACGAATTTCAACATTGATTAATTTTTTATTAGATGCACCACTACGTCTACGACGATTAACAACCTAAATGTAATGAGAAATTTTGAAAAACAAAAATTAATTTTTTTTAATTTAAACACATAAACATTGGTACAAGGGATGCACCAAATAGATATACGCCACATAAATTGTTCGATGTGTGTGAGGTCCGTGATATTGCCCGGGTGCCCCGATCGAAGCAGGTGGTTTTATTAGGTGCTACACCCAGTGCCTTCAACCAAAAGGTTAGGCGATGCAGTCCCATGGTAGCCGCTGACCAATAATTAGTTCATACGCTATTTGTTTTTTCAAGATACTGGAGCCAGACCATGTGCATCATTGGTTTGGAATCAACGTTTTCCAAATCTCTTATGTGGAATCCTCGTGTCCATCAACCCGGATATTCGTTTGTTGTCCTCTCAATCGCATAAACAACACCCCCGTCACCAGAGGGCAGTGAGTAGGAAGTCCCTGGCAGTGGTTGTATGTACATGATCATATGAGAGCATTTTGAGAGGGAGAACTGACTCTTCCCATTCTCAGCCGTACCAGGGTATTTGGGGACATTTATTAATTGATTTTTAATTAATAAAGCAATTTTGAAAAAGAACAACATTATAAATAAAATATTACCTGTCCGAAGTTAATAACATAAATTTCACCTTCCTCAACACATTTTGTTACAATTAAATCATCTGATAATTGAGCCAAACCATCAAAACATGGTTCACGACGAGTAGGAACTTTCAATTCAATTTCAGCTTCTCTGAAATATGAAGATTTAAAAAAAATTTACCTATCACAAATCACAATTGCAAATAGTGAAATAGTGTGTTTGTGTACACAACCAATGAAAAGTATGACATAATGGTTATGTTTTAAAAACGATTACTCACTTGATCAATTCACTCACATGGCCTTGGGAGGAAACGTCCGCCGATTGATATTACGAAAAGTTACAAATGTCTTCTTAGAAACTGGGTATCATATTATTAATTAAAACCCTGGCTACCGACTGATTGCCAGGGTAGAGTTACTACTCAATAGCTTTAAATTGAAAATGGTAAAATAACTATTACCTCACCAACAACCGAATCGGAAGACTCTTCTGGTCTAGTTTCGAATATATCATTCAAAGATGAAACAAGACACATAAATAACCAGAAACTATTAATTAGTAGGAAATATGTTATTAGTACGTACTCAGTATAGATATCGTGTGAGCTAAATATGCGGACAGATATAAGTAGGATGTATAACACGATTTGAACATGAAATACCAGTAGAAGATTGAAATAAAGACAAGACGAAGGAAAAGAGGGAACAGTCAGTCAGTCAGTAACATCATAGAACTTCGCACGTACATACATCAGTTCGAGTTGCCATACCACATTAGCACAGAGATGCAGTTGTCCATTCAAATCCCTTAGTGGTAGAGGCGGCAAGAGTATAAGAGTAATCGGAAACATTAGGGTTTGAAGATTTTATTCAAGGTGTATAATCCAGCAAAATGAATTTGGAAAGAGAAAAAATAAAGGGACATGAAGAATTCAGAAGATAAGAATTTGGGAGAACACAAAGAGTGGATGCACCTGCGCCATTGCAAACGATTTTGAGCCATGTCATTCAAGGTCTCTAACCATCGGTTGCTTTCATCTCGCGGATCCCAACCAGGTAGTCTTCACCTACCAACATGACTCAGTCCACTTGTCAGTGACTTCATGAACTTGTGCCATGTTTTGGTCTGGCCGCCCCTAGCTTTCTTCCAACCTACTCATATACCACTGAACATAGCACGTCGAGGTAGTCGGTCGTTGGGCATACGTAACACGTGTCCCAGCCATCTCAACTGATGAAGTTTCATCACTTCATCAATTGATTTGCCATCCTTACCTAGTACCAATTTCCTAACAACTGCATTACTTACTCGATGGTCCCAGGATATACGAGCAATGTTTCGAAGACACCTATGATCGAATACTAGTAACCTACGAATATCCTCTACTCTTACCGGCCATTTTTCACTACCATAAAGTAGGCTGGAACGAACTGCTGTGCAGTAAACACATCCTTTGTTTGATAGACGGATATCTCGCCTACGCCATAAATGACGCAAGTTGGCAAAAGCTAGTCGAGCCTTCTGTATCCGTGCTGAGATTTCGTCACACACCAGACCACAAGGGCTGATGAGACTTCGAAGATAAGTAAAGTGGTCGACACGCTCAACTACTTCACTCCCTATCACTAGTTCGGGTGTGGATGTAACCCAATCCTGAAGCAACATTTTGCATTTCGAGGGAGAGAATCGCATCCCGAACATGCTTGCATTGTTGCTTAGAGTGGTCAGAAGACTCTGCATTTTGTCAGCGTCTTCACCAAATAAATCTATGTCATCAGCATATTCTAAGTCAACAAGTGAACCTCCCGGTAGAAGTTCAACCCCTGGAAATCTAGACGAGGAAAGTGTTATCTCTAAAAGTACGTCGACGACAAAGTTGAACAAGAATGGAGAGAATGGACAGCCCTGACGAACACCACTTGAGGTAATCAATTCTGATGACAGTTCGCCATAAGCTCTCATTCGACCAGTTGTGTTCGAGTAGAGCCTTCATAAGGTTAATGTACTTCTTTGGTACTCCTTTCAGTGACAAACACTGCCATAGAACCTCACGATCAACAGAGTCAAATGCCGCCTTAAGGTCGAGAAATATTACGATTGTGGGGCATCTGAACGTGTGTCTGTGTTCTAGAACCTGACGTAGTGTGAATATCTGGTCTATACAACCACGTCCAGGTCGAAAATCATCCTGATTTTCTCTAGTCTGTTCTTCACGAGCTTTGGTTAAGCGTCGAAGTATTATTGAAGCTAATATTTTAGACACTATATTAGTCAAACTGTTTCCCCCCACGGAAATAAAGACAGAATTGAAAGAATAGTAGAGTATGTAAAGGAAAACTCAAAGAAGATAAGCAGATGATGTATTTTTTGTATGATTTTTCTTATCAATTCTTTATTCACTACATAACTACTAACAAACTGATTCACTTCTCTTCAATTTTTTTAACCTTCTTCTGTCAAACATTCTATATTCGATTGATGATACATAATACTTATATCTATCGACATCAGTAGCACATATCACAGTAAAAAAATATATTTTTATTGATAATGCAAAACTAATTGAAGATTTCATGATTCAAATAATGAATGAGAAAGAAATGGTAAGTAAAAATGATCTTACTTTTCATCACTTAATTTTTCTTTACGAAAATCTTTCAATGTCCAAGAGAATATTCCATCTTCACATCCTGCAACAAGGGCATCGTATTTTTTTAAAAATACAAGATTTAAAACAGGATTTAAATTAGCTCTAGGGCATACTAAACGCATAAGTAGTTGATGACGTGTTTTATATTCCGGTGCAGATGGTATACCAATATCCCATACTAAAATGCAGGACTAAAATTTGAGAAAAACAAACAATCATTTTATTATGTAGTCAATATTAATGTAATGTGTCATATTAGAATTATTTTTCAAGTCAGCGTGATGCGGTCGCTAACCCAATGGCCAACCCTCCTCCTTTATCCGAGCTAGAGAACGACAGTATCCCCAGGGGGTCAAGGAGGAAATGTAAAAACCTTTACATATCTGTGCAGCATCATTCATGAACACGGTCGATCTGACGAACATATGGACGCGCGGATCGGCAAAACAAGAACAGCATATTTACAATTGAAGAACATCTGCAATTCATAACAACTCTCAACAAACAACAACGTCAGAATTTTTAACACAAATCTCAATACACTACTACTCTATGGGGAGGAATCTCGGAGAACCACTAAAGTAATCATCCAGAACAACATACAAGTGTTTATTAACAGTCACCTACGCAAAATACTTCACATCCGTTGACCAGACACAATCAGCAACAATCTACTATGGGAGAGAACAAACTAGATTTCAGTGAAGGAAGAAATCAGGAAGATGTGGTGGAAGTAGATAGGACACAATATTGACGAAAGCACCCAACTGTGTCACAAGGCAAAACACCTCACATGTAATCCTCAAGGTCAAAGAAGGAGAGGAAGACCAAAGAGCACATTACACCGTGAAATAGAGAAAGACATGAGAAGAATGAACAACAGTTGGATAGAACTAGAAAAAAGAGCCAGGGTAGATTGGGTTAGAGAATTCTGATGGGCGACCTATGCTCCATTGGGAGTAAAAGGAGTAAGTAAGTAAGTCATATTAGGAGTTTGGAAACAAAAGATACTTTTGCTTAATGAGAGATTACACAGGTAAATATATTTAATACAAAATGTTTCAACTACTACTAAATGATAATCTGTATAATACAGTGGAAAGTAAATAAGTAGTTATTCATTCGGAATAAGCAACTGTTTGAAATGAATTCAGATAATTGAGGATGCAGTACAATCCCCCCCTACAACACAGTACACTGACGAATTCCGTATTGAGGTAATGAAATAACAAAAAGCTATGATGGTTAAAAGTGTCCTACATGAAATAATAAAAGGAGGACAAACCACGTAAAAATATGAAACTAAATTAGATATATATTTGTATTGGGCATTTGTATCTTCTTACTAATGTTGAGGATTGAAATTAATCAGTCTCGAAATCAATGAGAAACTTCAAATATGAAACATAAAAATGAACTAGAATTCACCTTGTAGCACAAGTTAGGGATAATCTGAATTCAGTGAACAACGAGATGACGTTCGATATGAACGGTACTGGGTTCAAGTCCCTGAGTGAACACTGACGTTGAGATGCAGATATATCTAACTAACAAGTCCCAAATAGAGCGAAACGAGCGTCCTGGATTCCACTACTAGACACCATCCATCTATGTTTAAAAATGCATGCAACTTAATGGGAATAGTAGGGCGATCCGCATAATGTAGCAAAAGACTGATCGACTGCAGTACTAAACATCAAAATACAGGTCCAAATATCCGATATATATGAATAAATAAATGTATTTTGGGAAATTACCTTAGAATCACCAGAAAATAAGATAGTAGGCTTTTCAGGATGAAATATCATACAAGCAACATCATCTTTGTGACCGCGCATTTCAGCATAGCATACTAATTGTTCAGGATGTAATAATCGAATTTCACGTAGTTTACCAGCGGCAGCCAATAGATTTGTTCTGTGCCCCGCAGCCATTTCAACAGTCGTCCATGCTAACGTGTAAAATTCCTAACAAAATACAAATAATATATTCAATAACGTATAACAGAAACATCACATAATCATGACTTCAATTAATACATAACAGCATAATGTAAAGTACAAATTACCATAATTAAATTTAATTCGTCGAACATACATCAACAGAGGATATAGATGAAGGGAGCTTAAATAAGATATATTAACTGAAATCAATGTAATGTTTATGAATACAGAAAATCAAAATCAACAACTTAATAATTACCCTTTAGAGTATGGGGGTTGGAGAGACTATTGGATTTCATTGAAATCATGAACCGATTTAAGTTAGACAAGCATTGAAATCTTGGAAGCACTAGATGCCTATTTCGTTCCATACGAGGACAAAGTAGCCGTCCAGTGATTTCACGTTTTTAATAGTGGATCTAACTTAGATCGGTTCATGATTTGAATGGAATTCAAGTTATTGATTTTATTGGAAGCCATCAGTGTGATTTGTCTTATGATCTCCTAATGACGGTTCCATTTCTTTGGGATCAAGAGCTTAATTCATCAAATGAATTATTGTTTAGGTCACTTGAATACTCTATAACATTTACTACGTTGTTCATAATGTAGCTCATACGAACAAATCAGAAAATTAGAGTGTACTCACTTCACCAAAGTGTTTGAAACGTTTCATTACACGTCCTGATTTACAATCAATAAGGCAGACACATTCTCCACCGCATGTAGCTACAATAGTTGACGTTTCATTGCTTGGATTATTAACACTTGGTTCGAATGCACATCGCCATACTTTGGTTTCGCAATCTAATGGGTCGTTGTCTCGTGCGTGACACCGAATAAAATGTAGGGGATCATAGTCAACAATCTAGAAAAGAGAAAGTTTAGCAAATATATGGTGAAATATACAATGACAAAAACAAAAGAACAGTCAGAATGATAGAATATTTAGCTGAGAGAATAGCAAAATTAGACAACGATAGTTTACACCATTCAATACTAATAAAGGTCTGAAATGTGGTGGATAATGGATGTGATGTTACTATTATATCCACAGAGAAAACAGATTTGACAAATAGGGCATCAAGAAATATGTCATTCAATGCATGGTGACAACACTCTGGTTAGATGAAGGATGGAATGTCATAAAATATGACAAATAAATAACAAAAAATTATGTATGAACGATTTACTAAGTACCCTGTTGTTCAGAACATCAGAAAACTACAGCGGATTCCCTCGTATCTTCTCTCTTCAAGGATGTTTGTCAATGTATATCTAATGTACAACTCAATTCACTGTGACTTGCAGATCGAATACATAACAACAAAAAGAAGGAAAACTTCCATGATAATAAAAACATTGAAATTGTTAATTTCATTCCTCAAACAGAGAACACAATGAACTTATTTCCTATTGTGGTGTATGCTTCTTTTGTCTGTCGATATATGTAGTATCTGACATCAATAGGAAATGGTGAACTTGGCAGTAGAAGGCAAATAGAAAGAAATTGTGAATTGGAAAAAATTATACAGGATGTAAAGGACTAATGATGAAGTATTTGTATGGTTCTCATATTTTACAAAGAATTTCTGTAATTATGTATGGACTAATAAATTGGTTGTCCCCACCTGTGTTCTCGTTCATTACACGTTACATTAGGGAAGTAACTACATTAAAATTGAAGATAACGACTTATATATAATTAGGAAATTTTTAACGTACCTCTCCGAGTTGACTGAGACTTCGTTTACTTTCTGTTACCGGTGGTAGAACAACTGGAGTAAGATTAACAGACACTGATAGTGGAGAATGAGTAGAAGGTGGTTTTCTTTTAGGTTCTTGAGGTTTAGGTGATATTGCAGCACGTTTACGAGTAAGCGTTTGGGTAGTCGTTGGGGTTTCAGGCTCATTATCAACCACCGACGGTTCAGTGTGTACACGAGGAGTTTGAGGTCCAGCGACACGTTTACGCTTTTTCTTTGTACCCTCTTCAGTGTCATTTGTAATGGGGAGAGGTTCTGCTGTCTGCTCAACTGCAGTCGAATTCAAAGATATATCCTGTTTAGATTCTAGCTGATTATTTTGCTCCATCACTTCATCTTCTTTCGCTACAGCAGCGACAGCTTCTGCAGCTGCAGTATCATGTTCAGAGAGAACAACCGACGAATCTTTCAAAAGAGTTTCTGGACTTTCGTTATCTTCATCTTCTTGAGCTAAAACAGCAGCTAGTAGAGCTTCTTCCTTACCAGCCAAAGCTGCTGCAGTGTCAATGACACCGTATGCGCTAAATCGTTTATGCCTGTTAGAATCTCGCGTTGACATACGCATTGTTGGTGGAGGAGGAGCATGAGGAGGTGGGATAGTCACACTCTTCAACAACTTTTCGGTTTCTTTAGCCTCCGATTCGGCTACAGCAGCTCTAAAGGTTTAAAAAAATGTTGAAATCATACACTAAGATAAATCATTTCAAAGGATTTCAAATGGTGAGATACGTATAAAAGTGTATAAGAATAACAATTCTATATTGATTATTTAGTTGTATACAGTGATGGAAGTAGTCGAAGAAACAGTAGTAGATGAAAAATTATTGAAAAGTTTGATTTTGGTAGGTCGACGAAATGACATGTACAGGACTTCATAGCACGGTTTCTTCTTTCTAATTCAAAAACCTCTTTCTAAGAAGTTATATTATAAAAGAAAATAGGCTGAGATTCCTATCCAAAATACTTTCAAAGATTTAGCTACTGGATAATTTAAATCTTTGTTCGAAAGAAACTGATGAACTAAATCCTTAGTTGTGAAAAGTAATCTACTTCAGTAGCTTGATGAGAATAAACTTGAGTTCAGACAAAAATCTATTACTAGTAGGATAAGAACATACTTTTTAGCCAAACTTTGAGTAATTGCAGGACGACCACGTTTGGTTACAGAGCTTGGAGTGGTTGGTTTCGCTTGAGTAGCTACATTTGCAACTATGTAAGCAGTACCTGAAGAACTTGTAGACGGTTTGATGATAAAATCGGATGCTTTCAAACGACGCTGTGTTATTGTAGGAATATCACTCGTAGAATTTTCAAGTGAGCCTGTGGATGTGACTGAACCACGATTGCCTTTTATTTCAGCAGAAATAGTGTTTGCAACACGACTGAGTAAACCTGGTCTTCGAGTCCCTGTTGGCTGTTTAGTTGGTAATTTTGTTATAACAGGAGCAGTTTTAACGGGAGTAGGAACAGATGGTGCTGGAGGTTGAGGATGAATAGATTCAGGAAGAGAGGTGTTCTCTGTATCACTTTCATCATACATATCTGGAAACAAGTGAAAACGTAAGATAAATCAGAAACCTCACATAACCACAGTATGAAACAATTAGTAATTTGTAGTAAACTAAGAACCTGTCACTAATTTGTAAAAGTCCACACTATAGCATTACAACACTAGAGTCAAAAAGGAAAACAAACAAGAGTAAATCATCAACATAGATCTTGGGATAAATGTACGTTGATTCAAGTTGCCATATAGCATTAACGCTACCCAATGAAAATAACAAGATCAATTGTGATGTAGTAGCGAACATAATAAGAAAGGTTGAACATTGAGAACATAGTTCGAAATGACAGAGTTCAAAGGCATGTACAAAAAAATACTGAAAGATAAATAACTTTAAATGCAATAGAGAGCTGAATATGAGAAATCTATATACTAAAAAAGAATAGAAAAGTTTCAGAAACATAATTCCTTCTATTGTACTGAAGTAAGGACAAAATAATATGCACTTAGGCTACGACTAATGTAGCTTTAAGAGAAAATGTTAAGTTAAAAGTTATAAAACTATCGGCAACCGGTATCGACAAAACGGCTACATAGTCTAAACACAAAGGAGAGAGTGTATATTAGTTTTCTTGAACACATTTTAAATAGCTCTTGATCAGGAGAAATTACTGTGAATAGCACAATCTGTAGATATCTCTTATGCATAGGATATCAATATCGATATTTTAAGATGAAGTATCAGTTTTATGAAGTTGTAAGCATCACTTTGACTTCAAGACTTTTATTATATGGTTTATCATTCTTCAGTTGTTATTAATTACAGTCTTCCACAATCACAGCCACTTTTGGCTAGATCTTGTGCAAATGTTATTTTCTACTTTATGATGATGTGATGTGGTCCGTTTGGCTTGTATATAAACCTAGTATGTTTGAAATATACGATTCATATCGCGGAGGCTGCGACTTGTTTGTAAGAAAAAAGCAATTGTGTTTTTGCGTATAAGTCCGCGTATCTAAATTTGGCATTCGTATAAAAGTTAAGGACACAACATTGATAGATCTGTCTAGCCTTAGAATCACAAGTACGAGCTCAAACCAATACGGCTTCAATGGTTGATAACAGTAGGTAACTCAAGTAATCAATCGTATGGAAGACAAAAACTACGGTCAGGAGAGGAAACAGTTCAACAGAAACCTATTCGTATAATTTCAGATCTCCTTGTTCAGATAAAAATACAACCGACATTTTATTGTTGCACACGTACACATTACGGATGACAGTGGATACTCTTTCCTCATTCGATTTATTTATTTATTTAAACACACAGACATTGGTATAAGGAGGAACTAAATATATTATGTACCATATTTCGTCATTCGACTTGCTTTTCCCCAAACAATCCATTAGTCTCATTGACTTATAACGTTCATACAATTCAAAAGTATAATTAAGTGAGCTTTGTACTGAAGGATGAGATATGACTGACAAAAAGATTGAACAACGCTTACCTTCCTGATGATTTTTTAAGGCTCCATCAATTTGTGAATTGGTTTGAAGAGTAGTCAAATTAGTAGAACTAGTGGTTGTCCCTAACCCACCAACAGGTATTAATTCGCCATCAGGCTGTCTAGCAGCAGTTCTCATTACTTCATACACAACTGTTTTCCCATGACGTAAAGCCTGACCTACCACATTAATAAGTCGATTAGGAGGTTCATCCGGTAATAAAGTTAAGTTTGCTGCAGCAGCTAAAGCCTCACGCTCAGCAACAGATGCTTGAAAGGCTTCTGTTGAAACTACTTTCTTTGGTTTTTTACGTATCGTACCTGTGGAAACTGAACAGGAGTTCATTTGTAAATGTGACTTTTCTAAAGGTTCATTTATTTGATTTTCAGAATTTTTTTCAATATGATTATTTTCTTTACAGTAAGAATCATCTTCCTCTTCTGTATCTAATTCACTGTCACTGGCAGCACCTTCATCATCACTAATATAAGTATGTGTGAATTTATCCAATGTTTCATCTTCACATTCATCATCCAACATTTTTGGAGCCAGAAAATCTTCCGCGATTCTCCGAGCCTTTAAATTAAAAAAGAAAAACAAGCTGATAATAACTGAATGAATAACAACCAGACAAGAATAAATGAATCGACAAATACAACTCTATATTAATACTTACCAAAATATTCTTGCAATGGGTAAATGGTTGAGATATTTCCAAACTTCGATTGACAGCATGTAAAACAAGAGTTTCAATGACACATATTGTATCTCGTTTAGGTAAGCCTTTTTTGTAAAATCCAGCTATATCATCTTCCCATTTTGAATAGATCTAATACAATAAATGAGAAACAACCACAAATACATTTACAGAAGGAATCAGTATGATATCTTTTTATCGATAAACTAACTCAGATATATTTTTTTTAGTTTTACAAGTGTCAAGTCAACCTACTATTGTTATAAACTGACATCAGTTAGAATGCAAAAATGTTTAAAATTAGGTATTAAGAGCTAAAATGGAGTTTTGATATGGATTTACAAATTGGGGTAAGGAATTACCATCAACTATAATGTAATGACTTTCCATTTTGTTGTTTATTACAATTTTGTGAAACTTAAGGTTGAAATTTTGGGTCAAAGTAAAAAAAAGCTTCACTAAACAATCTTGATTATGCAATGAACAATATTAAGTACTTAAATATACAATTGGTCTCAAGTATTTGATATAATTTAGATTAAGCACCATCTAAAATTCACTTTAGTGTTGTATACCAGATATTTTCATTAATTCCAAGCCTTCTTAGAACTACATATTGCCAGTTTTCATTTGGTTAGTAATAACATACACGTTTTTTTATCATTGTACCTTAAACTTCACGCAAAACAATTGACGATTTACCTTAATTCCGATCCGAAATAAAGTACAGTAGCTCTTGGATTCTATACGTTCTTTTTTTAGCTAGCTGTTCAGTTGACAGGATTTTATAACGAATAATATTTGGAAACTAATAATAAATGTTTATAATTTATACCAATATTAAAAGACATTCTTTTCAATAAATCGACGAGACTATAATTTATGGACGAACCAATCAGGTATGCCCCCAAATGCCCTGGTACAGCTGAGAGTGGGGAGAGTCCGCTTTCCCTCTCCAAATGCTCTCACATGGTCACGAGTATATAGCCTCTGCCAGGGAATTCCTACTCACTACCTTCTCGTGGCGGGGGTGTTCTTTACGAAATTGAGAGGACGAAAACCGAATGTCCGGCGCTTTAACCGGGTTGGTGAACACGGAGAGTCCACCTAGGGGAGTTGGAAAACCCTCATTCCAAACCAATGGTGCACATGGGCTCCAGTATCCTGAAGGAACAAATGGCGTATGAACCAATGGTTGGTCACCGGATACCATGGGGCTGCATCTCCTTACGACGCTCAACTGCCTTGTGGATCAGACCTTCAGGTCGAAGGCTCGGGTGTGGTCTCCTAAGGAAACCACCTACTTCGGTTTGGGCACCTGGACAGCATCACAGCCCTCACACATATCAAATGAGATTTGTGTCTCATATGTATTTGGTGCCTCCTTGTACCAATGTCTATGTGTTAAAATAAATAAACCAGGTAAAAAATAACAGGTCTCTGATTTTGGTGCGAAATTCACTCATTCATTTGGCTAAATAGCGTTTTGGCATTTTAGTTGATGTTAGTTCGTGATGAAAATCCTAAATCTAATTCTTAAGTTTAATCATCAATCGAAAATCATAATCTTAATTCTTCACACTAGTTTAGAACCTTTATTTAGTTCTACTTATTAGGTGTACATTCTTAAAGTCACTTTGGCGTCGCTTAAAGGTCGTCCGTAAACTATAGTTTCATCAACTTGAGAATTCCAGTTTTATAAATTTCGATAGAACAATGAGATTAACTCTCTCTCTTCTTATTGTTCTATCGAAATCTATTAAATCAGTTATTGCATAACAAACAGATAAACGAAATTCCAACATGAGTACATAGAATAAATATAAACTGAAAGAAAGAAAAAAGTAGTATCAACAGTACACACCAAAGCTGATAAATCATTTTTTGCCGTTTGAGCTGTATTAATAGTATCTTCAGTTGGTTCATCAACAAAATCTTTACCATTAATTGTTTTTAGATATGGACATAAGTAGGCTAGTGATTGTGGAGAAAGTAGCTAAAGTATAAAGAGAGAAAAAATGTCAAATTTTAATGTATTAATAAATAATCGCTGATAATGAAATACGTCTTAAAGTATTTAGTACATGAAAAAGATTGTAAAATGAAGATCAATTAGAGAAAAACAATGATAAAAACAAACCATATGAACTATGTTAGTTGTCTATCACTACTACCTTTTTTTCTATCACTTTTCCTTTGGCTACCCACTACTGCTCATGGTTATGGAGTAGATTTTTTGTCAGTCTATGTTTATATTGTCTTTACCTCTTATCGTGTTCGAAGCCTAATGGTATGAATTAATTGATTACTCTTAATCTTCTAGGCACAGTTACTCGTACATATCACTACAGTTTTTATGGGTATCTGGGTATCGTATAAATCTACATTGGAATTAACATCTTTAGTCTCTCTAGAAATATGCTTTGACGTTTTCTTTATACAGTTGAACTTTCAGGAATTAGTATTTGTGGTAGCAACCTGCGAGCATGACCACAAAGCCTAAAGAACAACTGCTTGAAACCGGTTACACATGGTATTTCTGTGAAAAGTATGCAATGTGTTAGCTCCGCGTTTCAAAAAGTCTTAGGACTGGACCCAAAAATCCGTGAGATAAAGTAAGGTGTGAAATTCTTATGGTCGACATTTTACAAATCCTTCCTCATGTTATGAAAAGATGGAATCAGTGCAAACGTTGCTTGTTGAGGGAAACACGTTACTGATGTCACACGGTACTTCTCTTTCGGAATATGATTTTATTGCTTTTAATCCTACTGCCTCCCACCCAACCTGTCTGATTTGGCGGGAACTAAAGGAACAGTTTCGGGCATTATTGTTCGACCGGTTGATTAAGACAGGTAAGCCCGGTCGTCACATCAAAGTAGCAGCTACGATCGATAGTCCCAAAATATAAAAGCAATGCCTCGGAAATACTAGTAACCTATGAATACCCTCCATTCTTAATGGCCATGATAAATAAGTGCACTATGACGATAATAGGAGGCATGAAAATGATGAGTAAGTGATGTGATATAAACTGCATGTTCTAGTTGATGGAAATTTCAGATAGTTAGAGGTAGTTTCAGTGGATCAGAAGCCAGAACAATTACTGTAAAATTCGTTTGATATTTGGCTGTGAGCGCAAAATTTGAAGCTCAGAGATATATTACATTATCACAATTTTTTGAAGAATGATGACGAGCATTACAACTATGATTACCTACAAGCTATCGACTTAAGTATAAACCATTAGAAATATAAAATGGACAAAACAGTTACTGAATAAATTGAATAAAATTAAAGCCATTTTATAAGAAACCAGTAAACACAAACTGAAAAAGAGGTTATACCTACAAGAGCGAGTTCAGGATCCAGGTCCAATGTAACTAATCTCGGGAATTGTTCAACAAGTGGGGGTTCGACAGGAACACCACGTTGCGTGGATCGTAGTAAATTAGGATTTCCACTTAGATTTAATCGACGTAACTTCGGTAAATGCAAACATCTTGGGAAGGCATACAATGCGTTTCCAGAGAGATTAAGTTCAACTAGGTTAACACATTGGTTAAGATGGGCAGGGACTATGCCGGTAAAACCACAATCACTTAAACTATGAAGAAATAAGCAATAAAAAGGTTAAATGATTTAGAATACTGGAAAACCTTAGAAAATAACCACCATATAATAAGAAAATACTGTTACTTTAGTTTTTACAGAAATCTAATGGCAATATAAAAAAATAACTGCCTAGACCTATTGGATGACTGTGATCCTACCAATGGTATTATCACTTTAATACCTTTTAACTAAGGCTTTAAAGCCAAGATCAAGACCTCATTGCCAGTTACGAGTTTCGTCAATCTGTAGGAAAAAAACTGGGTATGATAAAAATATGGTTTGAATAGTGTGAGAGAGCCAGGTTTTTCCTTTGATTTCTATTATCAATTCCGTATGTAACTTTAATAACTAGCAAAAGTATAGCGCTTGGTATGCATAAATCAATCCAAATATACGTACAATCTCGGAAGTGTAGTTAGACGTAAATACTATTAACAACCAATGAAGCATAAGACACATTACGTTAGTCTCATCATTGGATAATCAGTGCCCGACAGTTTATCAAAACTTAGCTCTTATGAATTGAACTAGTCATTTTATAAGAAAAACTGGCTCATTCCACGTGTAGATAAATATGAACTACACTCTAAGGGTGAGACCTGATGATATTACTAGGTTTTTTTAAATGAAGCACACTTTGAACCTTGAACTTAGTAGCTGAAAGCCTTAACGGCGAAGTCACATTCTATAAAACTGCATGAGAACACCATGAGAAAACGCTCATGTAGAATCAGAAGGAAAAGAATACACATTCACGTACTTCAGAATTCTAACTTTCTTCAGAGAATCAGTCCAGTAGATATAAATATTGTAATATCGTCTACAACATTATTGCACTCTTGACAAGTTAGAATAAGAGATTCACATTTAGCTGTATGGAAAAAGAAAACAAACTAGTACAAAATGCATAGATTCTGATGGATTCATAAAACCTAACAGTGCGAATACAAATATGAATGAGTATTTTAAATTGACCGAACTATTGTAGATCAAGTTCTATATCTCAAAGAATAAAATATTATGGATTATGTAAGCAATGATGGATAGTGGCGAGCAGTGTAATCCAGGACGCGCGTTTTGTCCTGTTTGGGACACGTCAACTGGATCTACCTGCGTCTCAGAGTTGATGTTCACTATGGGACTCGGACCCAGTACCATTCGCTTCAAACGCCATCACGTTATCCACTTAGCTACTGAGTCCTGATAGCCACTTGCTTGTGCAATGGGGTGAATTCCAATTCACTTGGTATTGTTTGGCTTGTATCTTCCCATTGAGGTTTAAGACTGCAATTGATCAGTCTGTTATTGGCATATGTGGATTATGGTCAATATGTTTTTGGTAGTCGCAGACATATTCTTCATCTTGATTTATATAATGCATGTCGAATATGTGATTGGTAGTTTGATTATTCTCTTTTTTGTAGTTCAAATTACAAACTGATTATAGTTAGGCCATTACTAAAAACCTAGAGGCAGTGAATTGAATTTGGACATGTACGCCATTGAACTTCAGGTCGCCATTTATAGTTTAAGTACTTGAGAGAGAGATGGTAGGCTCCGGGTTTGGATCCCGGACAGTTCGTGAATGCACACTACTGAGTTCTATACTACAAGAACTGTCCAGTGTTTTTAGTTTTCCAGAGGAGGATAGGTGATATGATTTTCTGATATAAACTATGGAAATTCTACAATCACTAAAACTCCTTCTCATACTTTCTCTTTCTGTTGCGTTACTTAGATTTTAAGTAGTTTCAATTAACGAACTGAATATTTTGTATTATCTGAGATAACGGATTCGAATTTCGAAAATACCTAAATCTAACACTAGATTGATTCCAGTCACATATTTAGAACAATTAGTAGACAATGTATGTAAACTAGCAAGTAGTTACTTATTTTGCACGATATAATAACGTACATGAAAGAGCATCTGTATCACTGTCTTCGAGGCTTACATCACAACCAGAATCTGGAGAATCACTACCATCAAGAGGATTGGATAAAAGTTGTTCTGCTGCTGAAAGATCGAGTTCAAGAAGTTGATCTGAGCAGTAGAATCGGTAGCCACCACCACCAATTGGTCTGAAACCAAGGAAAAATCAAAAATTATAATGCCATAAGAAGGTAATACAATTGCATCATAGGTCCAAAACCAATCGGAAACTCTAACTTACAATTTATCTGATGTTGGAGTATGTGTAAATAAACATCCAGAATTTCTCACCACCTTCTTTGCTAATTCAGCAAGTTCACGTCTATGAGTGAGGAGGCTTGGTAAACCCGAAGCCAAGTAAGAAGCAGCTTCATTACAAGCAACCTCATACGGAGTTAGTACAGGTACGGGTGTAGATCGTGGTAGTCCTGCTACGTTTGGCGGTTGGATGCCTCCAGGTAGGCGCCCATACAATGCAGCTGCTTCACGAACGCTATCCAACCGGAGTTCATTGGACACAAGGGATTGAATTTGATTAATATGTTCAACTGACAAATTACCAGAGTGATAATCTGTGAGTCCCAAATTTTGTGCTGACAACTGTCGAGCTTGATCCCAGCAAGCACGTTCGATATTTGTACAATCAGCTTTTGGTTTGATTTGGAGTTGTGGCATATCTGATAAAACATCAACTGCAGCAATCCGAATGGCTTCCTCTTCGTTAGGCAAAAGCTAAAATACAGAAATTTATTTTTTATCTTCTGAAACATACTATTTCTTCAAAAACAGGCATGACAGCATGAATTCTACAACTAAAAATCTTGTACAGAAAATACGGACTTATTGTATTGTTTATTCATCAGTAGATCATTACTCTCATTTAAAAACCGTTAAAGAATTTTATTGATTTGGAATAAGCAATACTCACTATCGGTATTTACGTAACAACTTCAGTACAGATTGCTGTTTTCGGTAACACATAAATATTGGATAAAAATGAACCAGGTCGTGCCGTTCAAACTTTTATTGTTTGGTCGAAAATCTGTTTGTAAATCACAATACCGCAGTTGCCACTTTAATGTTTGGAACGTTTTAAGACAAAGAAGAAGTCAACTATACTAGAATATCAAAATCAAATGAAACTGGATAAGGTTAACAGTGCTACAGAATGTTACTTGACACAACCGATTTGGGTGAAATTTCGTTATAATTATAGTGTTTGATAACATTTTGATCCCTCCCCACCCCACCCCCAAAAAAATACACCATGTCAGTCATAGAGTGAACGGCTTTTCACTACAACTTACATTAATGTATATCACCAAAGTAATTGTTGGATGAGGGGTGCATCATAGTGAAAAATGAATATTTAATGAATAATTCATTACTAAGAATGAATTTTTGATTAACTGTTCATAGATGGACGGACTTCGAAAAAAAACAAGAGCTACTTATTATGGCATAGTATGTAGATGATGTTAATTATGACAAGTCCGAATAAATAGTCATAAAACAAATGCGAATAAGCAATAAATTAACTAATACATTCAAGTACTTACTTTATATGCCGAATCACGTTTAGCAATAGGAAGGCTAGATAAGTATTGAACACTATGGTTATAGACAAGAGATGAAGAAATAAAGTGTAAGGAGAGAGTATTCGACAATGAAACAAATGGTTATTATAAGAAATTAGGTACAACAAATAAAAACCCCTGAGTTCAGTTTACTCTATGAAATCGTAATTGTCGAACGCAATCCAATGTCGGCTATAACATTAGTCCTGAGAAAAATTTGACTGCGAGAACATTCTGTTGATATTATTTTTATTTTTTTATATATCTGAACACATATATTGATACAAATGAGCATCAAAATAAATATGCCGCAGAATAATCGGATGAAATCGTAAAGGGATAAACAAAGGTGGGTAAATATCATCACAAAATACCTGGATAAGTAAGGGAATGAGAATAGTACTTTACAAAAGAAACAACAAAAAACAAGCATACAATCAGGAAGAATCCCTTCATTTAAGAAAATTGCTCTACCATTTATAAAGAATGGTACAAGAAAATTACAACAGGATTGACTGACAATGGCTTTAATATGGAGTATGATATCGTCATTAGTTATTCTCATGGTGACTACTGTGTATCAATAATTTAAGTTTTACTTCATTTTGACTTTTCAATTGATGTGCATTAGCCCACATGTCGATGTTTCTATAAATGTTAGTGTTCCGAAATTTCAAGGAACTGTAAAGAAAAACACGCATTTTACTCGATCTTTAACAAACGATGTATGTTTTATGACAATGCCTATAAAGCAACCAATTTCTTTATGTTGGCTCAAGTACGAAACTGTATACACAGATGAGATGGTAACCAGCTAATCAAAATGAAGTAGATAGAATATGGTTCACAGAATGACAATATAATGTCTAAAGGCGAAGCAAGTAACTTCATCCGAAACAATGAATCTAAGAAAAAATGTGTTACACATTCATTCCCGTCATTTCATGAAATACAACATGAACCACAACTGCTGTAAAGGTCAAACAAACCGCAAGACTATTTTTGAGTTTAGTGAGATTATATATAAAGACCTGATGAATATCGAATTCAATGATTAAATCATCAAGTAATAGCAGCCGAATCTAAGACTATGTGAGAAAACGTGATTTGCCCACATGAAGTAACGATTTATGTACTGATATCTCAGTCAACATTTGATTGTATGAGAGTGGTACTATTTGGTTTTCCAAAACGAAACATGTGAAATGGAATTCGAGGATGCAGCTAACGGACTGGAAACCCAGTATTTTCACTATAAACACCAGTACACAATGTTAAAACTACTAAAAAAAAACTAGATTTTATGATGAAAAATACTGATAATTTTAGCGCTCACTTACGTGCTATCATTAGTCATTACCCGTGGTTTGTTTGACTGAAGCGTATTTACTCCTGAGCTTTGAAGATTCGAAGTTAGAAGTGAGTTATCTGAATTAGAATTCTCATGAATAGAAGTTATAGAACTAGATGTTGATACTACTGTACTTGATTGTTGAATACCAGAAAGACCGCGAGATTCCAACATAGCTAATTGAGAACTAGCTACACGACCTCCAACTGCTACAGTTTGAGGTGTAGTACGTGGGGGTTGAGATGTAGGGAGAGAGACTTTTGGTTTTGACATATTTGTTTGATTTGCTTGACGTTGAGCATTCATATTTTGTTTTGCTTGGGTTTGTTGTCGCTGTGCTTGTTGTGCTTGCTGTTGTAATTGTTGATTTTGTTGTCTTCTCTCTGTATTTAAGAGGGTCTGTGAACGTTCAACTGTTTCCTTAGCAAGATGATACAGATCTCGTTTATGAAAAAGTAAACCGGGTTGAAATCGGCAAATTTGAGCAGCAGCTTCATTTAAGGCTAGCTAGTATTTTAAAACGAAAAATGTATAAATATTCCTAAGTGAACAAATCATCTAGGGATAATATCATCATATTACAGTACCTTTTCTCAATAAATGGCATAGGTTAATTTATACAATACAAGTTATGCAAGGTGTGTATACTACTGTGAGGTTACAGGCAGTAAATTTAAGTATAGATTATCAAAAAGATACTATATAGGCTTGAACTTTAAAAGAAATCGAGTATAAGCAAGTAGTACTTCAATTAACAGTATAACTCAGAGCACAGCACAAATTAAGTAATTAAAATCAGAAAGGGGTTTTGTGGAGATTGCAATCGTTTGATAGTTGAATTCATGAGTTGATTAAAGCTAGACCAACTTGGAATCCTGAAAGCATTGGACGGCACTAGGACGAAACGGCCGTTCAGTACATTCAGGTTTCCAAGGTGGTTTAGCTTTAATCAACTCATGAATTCAACTATCAAGTAATTAAAAACCGAAGTAAATCTTTATCTATTTTGCACTAACATCAAAGTAGATGGCTAGAATTTACATATATATTTTGAATTTGTTTGTCAACTGGCTTTATCAAAACAGTGAAGAAAGAGTGAATGAAAAAAAGATCCAAATGTTCATTTTACTATCTACATAAAGTACGGCAAATTCCTACAACACAGTAGTATATTAAGTTATAGAAATCAAGTTTCCCGAAATATGACTAAGAAGTGGAACTATTTTATCGAATGGTTTAAATTGATAATGACTGAAAGGACTTTTTTTAAATGATTGTATTCTTAAAGATTCATAGTCAGACCATAGAATTAATAAACATATACACATAAATCAATAGTCGTAACAAATAAATCTAAATAATTCATACTACATTCTTTATCCATCAGATAACTGGACGTTATCGACAACCATATGAATACACCGGGTAATAACAGTTTGGAAAATCTTCGTGTAAAATACAATATCATGACATATTCTACACATTGTACTAAACTGTTAATTTTATTCTTACTTTACAAAACTAACCTCATATTTTGTAAGTGCTCGAGAATGTGGTCCAGAAGGACGATAAATTTTAGCATAATTTCTTAAGGCTTCATAGAGTTCCAGGGTTTCACCTTGACTAGCACCAACCCTGTATGTATTAACCATTTCAAGCATCTCTACATAAGCCGTATACGGACCAAGCTTCCGATGGTAAGGTTCAGGACGATACGGATTATCTGAAAAGCGTGGACACGCGTAGAAACGACGACTTCCGCTTGTCTTCTTAATATAGCATAAAACTCAGATGGCAGGCCGGGTGGACACCATTTAGCTACAGTTGATCCTGCTTCTGTATCACCCGGTGATTCCTGTGCAACACTGAAGTTAGGCTGAGTATTTTCTGTCATTTCAGTTTCAGTTGTAACGACTAAGGTAGTCTACAAGACAAAGATCAAGACATTAGCTACAATATTAAGTAAAAAGCACAAGTAGCAGATGGTTCAATATTATATACATATACATATATATAACATATACAGAAAACACATTGTTGAAATTCAACGTGGGTAAAACACATTAAAAATAACTGGCACTCAAAACAAAAGTATGATGCTTTCGACCCGAGTGCTAAAAATGTTTTAATCTTGAATACAACATATTTTAAGAATAAATTAAGGTAAAACTACACTATACCGACGGGCTTGAGCAATTAAAATTAAGCTGGCCTATGCTTAGTATTAACGCGAACTTAAAACGCTTTCGAAGATTGCTCGTTGCTGAAAATCATGATTTCAACTATAACCCGTATTTTGAAAGCACTGGATGACGATCTTCTTATGAAATAGGCTGTTAAGCTCCGTATGTTAGGGTTAGGATTGTTGAGAATGAGTATCACGTTTAGTTTTGGGATTAGAGTTAAGGAGTTGGGATTTAGCCAGGTTACAGTATTTTGATTCCCATCCAAACTTATCAATAGTCCAAATACGTTCGCAAATTGTGTTAAAACTCTTGATCCTGTAACGGATTTTTCTGTAATTTGGAGCTCATTTACAATAGCTGAGTTCTAATTGAATAGCAAATGGTACAGCATGAAACTGTGGAAGAATATGGAGTAAAAAATTAATACTACCCTTGATATTATTATAATTTTAGACACTGTAGAGTCAATTCACCAGCCAAAATTCGTAGAACTTTAGTAGAAACATGCATTTAGACACAACAGACTTACCAAAATCGGATCACCAGTTTCCGTTGGTCCAAGAAATACATACTCTAAAGAGCTGCCGTTCATTTCAATAATGACATGATCACCAGTGTGACCTTGCTTCTGATCAAGTACATTTCCGTTTTCATCAGAAAGTATAACAATTTGAAGTGCCTCCCCGTCCACTAACGTAGTAGCTTCAGTAAGAGTGAATTGTTGACCAGATGGATTTGCATCAGTTATTTCATCAAATCCAGAAGTAACATGGCTTCTATCAGCGCCATTAGAAACACCCTTATCAAAAATTAAACACGCAACCAAAATGGACATGTACTTTAGAACTTGAAGTAGTTTGCAGAATACTTTAGTTAGACTCATCTTAATAAATAATAATTTGGTGAGGTTTTTTGAATGGAATTTATTAAAATATGTACCAAACAAATCAGAATTTTGACATGTTCTCTGAATTTTAGGTTCTCAACAACCACTCAGTAATCTGAAGGATACAGAGAGAATATTAAGGAGAGTAAATGAATTACTTTTACCACTTGTTCCTATAGGCTGACCATATGCAAACTTATTTGGTCGGCTTGCTTTACCAGGATATCTACTAATTAAAGAAAAAATGCTCAATCAAATATGCTTCGAACCAAAATCGCCACACTTTCCAATAGCGCAGTATAAGCAAGTTAGGATGATGAGAAGCAAAGGATTCAAAATAATATGACTAGTAGTAAAAAATAAACATGAGAAACATAGTTTAGAAGAAACGGATGAAATCTGTAAAGATATTCAATTCTGATATTCGTGCGAACTGCAGAGGCTTTTATTCTATAAAAAATGAAGTTAAACCGTTGTTTCTATGATTATTGAAATGATATTCTGACAGTTAATGTTGCTATAAACTGTTTAACAATTAAGGGCTTGTGTTTTTAGCCTGATACTACATTTTTACGAGACCTAATGATACAATCTGGATGCCCTGAATAAAAAAGAGGGGTTCAAGATTGCAGGCCTATATTGCAAGACTAAATATTCTAGCCATTAACCCACTCTCCATATGACACATTAACTACAACTATACTATCCATTTAGAGCAATAAACCAAAAATTTATTCGCAGTTCTTCATTAGTGAACTAAATGTGGACCTTTAAGATGCATCAGACACCAAGGCTAATTTTCGAAATTCCTAATCTAACCCAGTTGTAGCCTGATCCGAATAGAGGACTGTATTGAAAGAGCCAAAGTCAAACAACAAAAGTGGCTGTTGTGGAGTAATCATATCTTAAAAATGCTTGGTGTATGAGAACGAAACAGACGGCGAGACTATAATTTATGGAAGAACTAATCAGATTGAAAATAGCAACTCTCGGATTTTAGCGCAAAATTCATTCATCCATACGGCTAAATAGCAATTTGGCATCATAGCTGATGTCAGTTCATGATGAAAACCCTAGCAGTAATTCCTAACCCTAATTTTTAGCTCCTAATCCTTTTTTGACTGTTAAGTAGATGAATCTCAAGGTCACTGCATCAGTTAAAGGTCATTCACAGATTAGTCTTACCGAAAATGCTAATATATCTGTTATTTTACACATTTTAAAATGTTATCTGTTTATCCGCTAGCGCTGATGGACTAAAAACGGACCAATCAGTGAGCACCAGCATCCTGAATCGAATGCCTCAAATCCTGCTAACATAGTGGCAATGTAAATTGTAAGTACTAAAAGAGAATGGAAACTAGATCAAAAGGTCACGGGAATGAGATCCCCAGAAGACATTACAGTTATTTCAGATGTTAACCTTATAGTACCAAATAACTAACAGAAAATTGTATATCAATATCGAGAACAGTTGGTCCATACTCTCCAATGTTTAATTATGGTCGGGTATTCAATGAATGTTCAATTTAACGTCTGTACGAACAGCCCGTTAATGGCTCTCATGCAACAGATAAAGCTTAAATAGCTACATACCTTAAGAACCGTTCAAAGATTTTAAAATATGACGAATGGATGGTTTCTGTGATACGTACACGAGTCAGTTTAACCGACATAAAACTGGATAATGTAAATTAGGTTTAATAGGCTTACTTCAGACCAGTTGGTTTGACCATTGATATTCTGCTGTGTAACGCCTTCGGCAGTGTTTGGAACATCTTGGATATCTTGATCATTTGTGGAAATTAACAGAGTGGACTGGAAAACGTGGTCAAATACAGTATTAAAAAAAATATAATTTAGAAGTCGAATAAAGTTTATTAATCGAGAAAGATAAAGAATAACTCTTAGAATAATATGTAGCCAATATAATTCACACCCCAACATTACATGTAGACTAGAGAAACTACATAACCGTAAAACCAAAAGCATACACGAAAGGTGTATGACTTGGCACAAACCTATATGTTCAAATTCCGCTATTTACACTGAAAAACTAAGATCAACACGTACACCAAGTTAATGTAAACAATCATAATAAGATTGGTAAAAAAATTCAACATATTCTAGAAAGACAACGACTTGATGTGTAACGGATAGTTGAGCCATAATTCAAGCAAAACAAACTCACGTGGCTTACAATATTTTTGCTTGGAACCTCATTGACCTTTTGATGGTTTTATTTCACTGAGTATAACTGCAATTCATTTATTATAGTTTTGACATAATACATCTACACAAACCAAAACAAGTTTAGAACCAAGTATTTAGTCGGCACCAAATATATGGGGCATTGTCAAATCTTGTGCGTATTTGACATACCGATGATCAACCTACTAGAACCTAGACCAATCCTGAAATAAATGTATTATGCACATAAAACTACTCCAAGCTCAATTCAGAATTCAGCATTCTTATCTAACAGCTATCTATGCTAGATAGACCAGAGAACTTTTATTATTTATTTATTTGGACACATGAATATTGGTACAAGAGAGCGCCAATATATATGCGCCACACAAAACAATGAAAATTCGAGAGGAATACAAAGAAAGAAAAAAAAGCTAAGGAGCGCAACAAAAAAAGAGAGAACAATAACGAAGAGATTGGTGTAAGGTAATGTGCTAGTAATCAGGGAACGCAAAGGTACAATCGGAAGAAATCTTTCAGGTAAGGAGACACAACCACCTTTTATGAAGAAAGTAAAAGAAGGTTACAGCAGGATCGCCACTGGCTTCTATTCTGAGCCATATCTGATAACGTCTCTAGCCACTGTGTAGCACCATCTCTCAGACCCCAACCAGGGAGTCGTGAAGGACCAACACAAGCCAGTCCTTTGCAGCTTTCTTTCATGCCACGACACCATGTCATGCACTGACCACCTCTCCGCTTCTTCCAACCAGTCCCAGAGTCGGCAAATAATGCACGACGTGGAATCCTCTGGGACGACATTCGGAGAACATGTCCAAGCCACCGAAGTCGGTGTTTCAAGATGGTGACACCAATTGAATTATCATCTCTGTGCCCGAACACACGATGCCGAACCTCTGCATTACTGACATGGTGTTGCCACTGAATGTCAGCAATCCTTCGGAGACAGCGATGATCGAACACAGAGAGTCGTCTAACGTCCTCAACTCGGAGAGGCCAGGTTTCACAAGCATAGAGCAAAACTGCTCTCACCGACGCGTTGTAGATCCGACCTTTTACGGCCAGACTAACATCACGAAGGCGCCATAGATGGCCCAGATTGGCATAAGCCGCTCTGGCTTTCACTATACGTGCATTGATCTCATCACTCACACCCCCACCAGCACTTATGCAGCTACCCAGATACACGAACTTCTCGACTACGTCTATCTGCTCACCATCCAGGGTGAGTACAGGATTGGAATCCTGCCAGTCTTGTAGGAGTACTTTGCACTTCGAAGGTGCAAAGCACATACCATACCTACGGACACTGATTGCCAACTGATTAAGTGCGGATTGCATGCCTTGGGCATTATCGCACAGTAAGACAATATCGTCCGCATACTCAAGGTCAAGAAGTCTTTCTCCAGGCAACAGATCCACACCACCATTACTTACATTCATCAGAGCTGTTTCCAGAAGCTATGTTCGCCTACCTCACTGTCCAACTAGATAGAAATTTCAAGTATACCATATCCGAATGACACATCCACTGTCCTTTTCCCTAATGACGAAACTCCATATTTCCTCCAACGAAACGTGAATCCGAAGAGTAATAATATACTTATGGAGTAAACTTTCCAGTCAGATACTGATATAAGAGCTTTCGGTTAACAGAACCACGGTATGATGAATTTACAGTACATGCTGATGAACTTTAAACAGTAAGATATGAGATTATCTCACGTAGAGTAAACGGCTTTTTGTTCCCACTAAGCGATTCAAGTACGTGTTCTCTTTGTCAAAAATGTCTGAACATGGTCATACATACTGTTTAACAAAACGTGTAGGTCTTACATAAAAGCTACATTCAAATTATGGTATTCACTCGAGAGCCGAGGGATAAGGTAAGTTGGAGATCCCTGGTCGTCGGTCTGTGTTCTACGAGGAGTGGCACATTACTATGCAGAACTCGCAACTACTGCTTACATCAAAACGGAGAGTATGTTTATTTCACCCAAAAAACAAGAGTAAAAATCAAAAAGTAAAAGCAAATTACAGTTATAGGTTCACCAGTTGACGTGGGACCCTGAATTTCGTACGAAAATGCCTGTCCATGCATTTCTAAAATGACTTGTTCTCCAGTTTGTCCTTGCTTCTGATCCAAAACCTGACCACGGGAATCTACGATTGTGACAACTTGAACTTGGCCGTTATCCACTACCGCTGTTTGTTCGCTTAACGTATACTGTTCCACATTTTCCACCAACGAATTAACGTCAGACGCATCAATCTCTCCTGAATTAATTAAGGAGTCACCCACATCGCAGCAAAGGTCAGAAACAGTTGATTTGCATGGCTGTGCGGCCTCATTATTGTCTTTATCGATGACTTCCTCGCTGTTCGATTTATGACGTTCAGGATCGTCCAGTTCCGCAGGAACAGAGGTTGAGTGTTCACTAGGCAGATCTGCTTTAGACTATCAATAAGAGCCTTAGACACCCTTTTCCTGAAAACAACTCACCTGTTCAACCACTTCTAAATCACTGTCAGCTATTGGAGTAAGAGTTAAGACCTGTTTGCCGTCTTCATCTACAGCATTTTGTAATGTTGCTTGACCAGACAGAATTTTCTTGGCATCCTCTGGCGTAACTAAAGCACATCCCGTAGCGTCGTCATTTTCATCCATAAATACAAGTTTGACAAGATCCTGTCCAGAATCATCACGAATAATTTCAAAGCCATGGGCCACCAATTCGTCAATAAGCTTGGACATGGCGAATCTCCCGCCTAGTACATGAACTTGAATCCAATATTCAATATCTCCTCGAACAACTTCAGCCTTCAGTAATAAGGATAGGAGGTCTATCGACCTATAATAATCCTTGGAAACGGTAATACTGTGGAGGTCCAGTCTCGTTTTGAATATATCAACAAAACCTGCTGATATTTCGTATTCCGGTAGAGAATTCCAGTAATTCACTACTCATTGCGAGAAACGAAACTTCAGACGTAAGTGATTTGATCTCGGTTTTTGAACTTTCTTCGAATGTCCTCTCAAATGGTCAATCCTAGGCGGACGTAAAAGATAAGACATGTTAATACCAAGGTCATCGTTGAGTATACGATAAGCCAATACTAGATCACCCCGTATTCTATGGTAAGATAACGGAAATAAGTTAAGATGTCAGGTATAATAATCTAAACATTTCATCATCTAAATACTGGAAAGACCTACGAATAGACCACAATACTCTATAGCTTTTCGCAGCAGCAGCCTTACAGTGACTAGTGGTTTTGAGATCACTGCTTAATATGACTCCTAAATCTTCATAGTTTCTTACTTTGGGTAGCACGAATCCACATATTGCATAGTGATACAGTACATCATAGTTATTTGTTTGCATCACTACACTCTTATTAGGATTTACTTCTAGTGACTACCTATCCAACCATGCCACCAATGAGCTAAGATCACTCTGTAATACTATTCTATCCGACATACTGTGTATGGGTCTCCACATTTTTATACCACCAGCGAAGAGTGAAAAGGATGATTTTGCTACAGCTGGCAATTCATTTGCATAAAGCAAAAAAAGAAAAGGATCGAGGATTTTACCTTGGGGAACTCCAATTTTTACATGTACCCACGAGGAGAGAGCTCCATCAAACACTACCATTTGTGAAAATTAGAACAACACATATAAGCGAACAATTGTTTTCAATCAGATCGTCATCAGGCTTTACTCTAATATACATGAATATTTATACGAAAATGTTAAACCGATCAAGGTAATCGGGGTCAATAATCACAATGAAATAGAATAAGTCTCTACACATAAAATAGGTAAAAGTACAAGTTGATAGTACGAAGACAGGTGAACAGATAGTGGTAAGAATAATAAACTACAATAACAAAACTCTTATCAATAGTTAATCGTTGGAAATAGAAGGTCAAATAAACATGGGTAAATAGACTAGGAATAGTAATCACAAAACATTAAAAATCATTACGTAATAAGATGTGTGTAAATAATTAGATGGTGAAGAATACAAAGAGGCGGATAATGACAAACAAATAATGGATGTGGAAATAAGGTTAACAATAACACAGATAGAATAAAATAAATAATAATAATAATAAAATTAAAAATTAAAAAAAATTGTTAGTTAAGTTATAACTGGCCATGGAAGGGATAGGGGAGTCACGTATTTCTTCTGTACACATAGATTGGGGTTATATGTACGAATCCCAATGGCTTCAGCTATATATAGGAGACGGGAACGGACTCCGTCGGGAAATGATGGAGGTATACGATAGATCACTCGGAATGATTTCGATTTATCTACTGCATGACCGCTATCAATAAGATGTGCTAGTATAGAATTGCGAATAGTTTTTCTCTGACCCTTTATGTACCAAGTTGGTAGATGTTCACTCATTCGTTGGTTAAGTTGCCTGGTAGTACGCCCTATATAGCTATCTCCACAGAAGCAGCTGAATTTGTAAATGCACATGGAAGAGGCCAACTCAGGTAACTTATCCTTCGTTTGAGTAGACATCGCTGGTCGACAAGAGAAGGTCAACGCAAGATTGGCTGCGTAGAATGTCTTGGTGATTACTTTGGTTAACCTATATTTCAGAGTGTCACTAGCCACATCCCCGTTGAATTGCACTTTCATGTATAAAGGTTTCTTACGAACAGTCGAAATCTCCGACTTCTTTATAATATCCTGCATGTATTTCTTAATGAACGCGCTGGGGTAGCCGATCTCGGTCAGTGAGTTGTTGAGAAATTCAAGCTCCTGACTTAGAGTGTCTACTGTACAGATCTTTTTTGCTCTGCTCGTGAGACATCTGACCAAATTTCTCTTGTAACGGATGGGTGTGAAACTGCAGAAGTGAGTATATTGGCATGAAGAGGGGTTTCTTCTATACACGCTTCTACTTAATGTGCCGTCACTTCGTCTGCTTAGTGTGACGTCAAGGAAGCTCAGCTTCTTATCATTGTGATTATTGACCCCGATTACCTTGATTGGTTTAACATTTTCGTATAAATATTCATGTATATTAGAGTAAAGCCTGATGACGATCTGATTGAAAACAATTGTTCGCTTATATGTGTTGTACTACCATTTGTCTCCTGTCATGGAGAAAGTTACTTATCCAATCTAAGACTGTATAATGAATTGCAAAACGTCCCAGCTTGAATTTAAGACCAGAGTGGGATTTGTGTTAGTTCCCAAAGAATAAAACATATCTCCAATTTTCAGCTAGCTAATGGGTTTGGTTATCCATTTCGGCCGCAACATTCCTAATGATCTAGATAAGAAGTCTAGTCTCAATATTCAACATTTTTTTACAAATCACTATGAGTCATTAGATTACTTGACCCTATGTCATGGCTGCCGATGGCAGTTTCTTTATGTTTCAGTCGCACTTTGTTAAGTTTGCACAGCTGCTTGACTGTTATGGTCTCTAATACCATAATTCTTTTTCCCATCTTACTAAACTTTTCGTCGAATTGTTATTAACTCATACCTGCAACTATTTGTAATACGACTCTACTCTGTTAATAATGGACATACTCCGTCTCTGATTAATGCTTAGATGTTTCAGGCATTGAGGTAAACCACCACCGAACATTCAGCGGTCACTACGATTTTCTCGACAGTCATCTTTTGGTTCGACATATATCTTCACCTGCATATATCGCTTTATTATGTGTGCAGATAAAGTGCAGCTAGGGGATATATATCCTGAGACAATAGCAATAAGTATCACACCGTATTTCCAAGAAAGTCGTGGTGTTGAAACCATTGGTCATAAAAGTGGTCTGTTTGCGTATGTAATAGACAGCTGGTGGTTGAATTTTGGTTTCATTGAGAATATATGACGAAAGTGCAAGTGATATTTATCCTTATAATGGTCGTTTAGTTAGGCGTTATATATCATTGTGCCAGTGAATGAAATTGTTGCAATTACTGAAAAAACGGATTCTTGTAAAATTTTTCGGTCGCTATTTCTGGTTTGAGATATGAATAAAGTTGGTAACACTGTGTTTCATTCTCTATACGGACATGGATGCTCCAACAGCGATAACATCGAATTCCTACTTTTTCGAGTACTGTCTGATAATTGCAGAGAGGTTGTTGTCGATCGAAAGTCAACTATTCCAGAAACTGAGGTGCTCAAGTATATATGCACACAAGTGTATATTTTTCTCTCGTCAATGGTCTGGTAGAGACGTTTCATCTCAGGTCAATAGCAGCGTTAATTGAAAGCAAGGACGATGGTAAGTGATGTGACAAACCACTACTTGTGACCAGAACAATATGATTTATGGTGAAGAAATATTTATGCTGTTTTGATGGAGATTCAGCGTATTAAACCTATAGTGGTATTGGTCCCTAACCGCACGACCTTTGAGGCTGAGCATATAATTCCTGAGATTAACATTCAACAATTAACATTAGGAGAAGATCAAAATGGTGAACGTGGAAACATTTAATAGAAAGGGCATGGCTCTGTCAAACATGGAGTGGTCACTTAATACAACCTATTGTTTTTGTATCAAGTATATTGCTCTCTAGCTAGTCTAAATGTGTTCTTCTGAAATGTTAGACTTCGTGTTGCTGATCTTCACAAAAGGACGAACGAATGCAGACTATGGTGTGACTCTTACGTAAAATCTTACGGATTAGGTAGTCATATCATGATATGTCTACAATTTACGGGTTCGGTCTATTGTTGTCGTGGCAAAGATGAATGTACTGATATTCAATTAGATCACAATACTAGATTGATGATATCGGCCAAATAAACCTGTTATTTTTTCCCATATTCACTCTAATTTTGTCGGTTGTTCTTCATTTGTGTTAACCGATTCCGCTACCTTGATGCGGTGATCGAGCTTGCCCACCGTGATAAACCAATCGAGTTATACTTGCTTGAATAATCGTTTCTCAAAGTCCTACCATGCCAAACAGGTCGGTTAAAGAACGGTAAGACTAAAAGCTGCTAACCAAAGGTCCGAAGGCGAAGTCGTACAACTGACTGTATATAGGTGTGACGCAGTAAGATGTTTCCTCCAGACAAAGAGCATAACAGCAGTGCTGCCCTCTTACATGGAGGGGTGGAATTAGAAAAGTTTGACTCTAAAAATGCACACCTCTTCGAATCCCACAGATATCCGTCTCCGGCGGTAAGGTCTTAACAACTATCACGCTAACACGAAAAGTACAAAAAGGTCGTGTGTGACCAACCTCAAGCAGTTGTCCGTTAGGCACTGCGTTCACACTCTCACGTAACTAAGACCACCTCTAATCCAATTTCCTTTTCAGGTACTTCTAAAAGAACCCTTTCACTGTGTGAGCAACCGAGAGAGTATAACCCCCCTCATAACTTAAACGTTATTCAAGACCTCTGGATCCGTAATCGATTCGCCCCTTCCAGTTCCTTGGACTGCGTTGGAGAGGCTCGGCAGAAGACTAATGGTATTAGTTCCTAACCACATGGTTTCGGGGCTGAACATATAATTACCCGGAAGTCTTTTTCAAAACATAACACTAAGAGAACGTCGAGAGTGGTGAAGGAGGCACATTTAATTTTCGGCATGGCGTGAATCGGCCTTGTAGGTGTGTTCACCCTTGTGAAACTCATATTGTTCCCCAAAATATATCACTTAA